GTTGTCAGGTAGCCATGATACCAGAGCCTGTCTGTATAATGTCTTGTGACGTCCACGACCTACCCCAGTTACCACTACTGTGCATGTGTGTCAAGGACAGAAAGGCAGATGTGGCAGTGGAAGGTGTCAGAGCAGTTTGGACAGAAAAACAAAGTAAAGAACAAAAATAAAACGAAAACGATTAATCGATTATTAAATTAGTCATCGATTAATTTAATAACCGATTAGTCATCAAATAATTGATTAATCGTTGCAGCCTCAGCTCATTCTGATCAACATGAACCTGTTTCTGATCCTTGCAAACCTCACTGAAACCTTTGGTACAAAATCTGAATAAATCTCCATCTGATCAACTTCTTTTCATTGGTTTCTTCTTTGAAAGTTTCCATCAGTCACGTTGCTTTGCTGCAGCTGATGTCACAACACAAAACTTGTGTCTTTCTTCACTCATGACAAACATTTCTGGCACACTGGCAGTTCCTGTTGAACCTGTTTTATTTGTCTTGTGTGTGTGTTGTGGAGCGTGGCGGCACTTGACTGTGATAGAAAACTTTTAATCGTCATACATTTTTGACTCTTTCAGTTCAGTGCCAAAATCTTCTATCAAGCCTTGTGTTTCCATCTTTTTCTTGTTCTCTTTTGTGCATGACAGTTTGGACATGTAAAGAATTAGTCTGATTAGTATCACAAAAACTTCAGGTTAACATTCCAGAGTCTTGCCCCTCCCCCAGGCTTTTTTCCCCCCACACTGGTTACATTTTAGTCTTTAATCTTGCTTTGAGCCACTTGTCAGTCAGATGGGTGTATCCATCTACACACAAAACACTGTTTAGATAACACTCATCACAAGGCTTTCTCTGCTCCACCTGCTCTGTCTCTGCATTGCACCTTTCTGGAAAAGAGAGTTTGCCACAGAGGCTTTCAGTCGCTCCAAGCATGAGCAGCTCCAGCAAGCAGACGTGGGCTCATTGAGTGAAGAAGTCTCCGTTTAAAGCAGGTGAGGAAAACTGTTCACTCATTTTTATTCAGCATTGTCAAGGTAAGAGATTTTACAGCATCATGTATAATTTAAATTCACCGTTGTGTTTAATTTCAAATGGTGAATAATGAACTGTTTTGTTTTGTTTTTCAAATGATTGACTTTGGTGACAATTGAGAAAAGTAATTTAATTCAAAGATTCAGTGGTTGGAAAAATATTTTAGTCAAATCGGAGACTTCTTCTGAAGAAGTGTTTTTCTTTTCTCACTGTGATTTAACAGAAAGGACGATAAAAACTATTGTCAAGACTAGTTCTGTTCCCAACTTAGAAACATCATCTGCACCTACGCTGAAAGAAGGGCATAAACCTTCACAAACTTTTAGAATCAGCTGTAATTTTCAGTCCCCACCCCCTCCCACACACACACACACACACACACACACGTTGTATCTTTGCAGAGCTTTGTATGAAGACATTTAATCACTATTTATTCTCTATTTAAAGTTTAGGATGTCAGACACCCGCTAGTCGAAGCGATGTTAACTGCTTCAATATGTTTTTAATCTGAAAAATATCTATAGTATCGTTGATACGTTTTTGTTCAGTAAACAAGCAGATCATTTTGCAGCACATTTTTCTTTGGCGTTATTGTGACGTTTAGATTGCAGTTTGAGTAAGCTACTACAGTTTAATAAGTAGGCCTGTCACAATAAACAAATTAATTAACCTTGTGATAAATTAAAATGAAGACAATAATTTTCATTTGTCTGCTTGTTTGTTTTCTCTGTTTCCCTCTTTTTTACTTCTTAGCAAAGAGAGGTACAGTGGGGAAAATAAGTATTTAGTCAGTCACCAATTGTGCAAGTTCTCCCACTTAAAAAGATGAGAGAGGCCTGTAATTGACATCATAGGTAGACCTCAACTATGAGAGACAAAATGTGAAAATAATTTTGAGAAAATCATTTTGTCTGACTTTTAAAGAATTTTTTTGCAAATAATGGTAGAAAATAAGTATTTGGTCACCTACAAACAAGCAAGATTTCTGGCTGTCACAGACCTGTAACTTCTTTTTTAAGAGGCTCCTCTTTCCCCCACTCATTACCTGTATTAATGGCACCTGTTTGAAGTCGTTAACAGTATAAAAGACACCTGCCCACAACCTCAAACAGTCACACTCCAAACTCCACTATGGTGAAGACGAAAGAGCTGTCAGAGGACACCAGAAACCGAATTGTAGACCTGCACCAGGCTGGGAAGACTGAATCTGCAATAGGCAAGCAGCTTGGTGTGAAGAAATCTACTGTGGGAGCGATAATCAGAAAATGGAAGACATACAAGACCACTACTAATCTCCCTCGATCTGGGGCTCCACGCAAGATCTCAGCCCGTGGGGTCAAAACGATCACAAGAACGGTGAGGAAAAATCCCAGAACCACAAGGGGGGATCTAGTGAATGACCTGCAGAAAGCTGGGACCAATGTTACAAAGGCTACCATCAGCAACACACTACGACGCCAGGGACTCAGATCTTGCAGTGCCAGACGTGTCCCCCTGCTTAAGCCAGTCCATATCCAGGCACGTCTGAAGTTTGCTAGAGAGCATTTGGATGTTCCAGAAGAGTATTGGGAGAATGTCATATGGTCAGATGAAACCAAAGTAGAACTATTTGGTAAAAACACAACTCGTCGTGTTTGGAGGAAAGTGAATGTGGAGTTGCATCCAAAGAACACCATACCAACTGTGAAGCATGGGGGTGGCAACATCATGCTTTGGGGCTGTTTCTCTGCAAAGGGACCAGGACGACTGGTCCGTGTACATGAAAGAATGAATGGGGCCATGTATTGTGAGATTTTGGGTGCAAACCTCCTTCCATCAGCAAGGGCAWTGAAGATGAAACGTGGCTGGGTCTTTCAGCATGACAATGATCCCAAGCACACTGCCAGGGCAACAAAGGAGTGGCTTCGTAAGAAACATTTCAAAGTCCTGGAGTGGCCTAGCCAGTCTCCCGATCTCAACCCCATCGAAAACTTTTGGAGGGAGTTGAAAGTCCGTGTTGCCCGCTGACAGCCCAAAAACATCACAGCTCCAGAGGAGATCTGCATGGAGGAATGGGCCAACATMCCAGCAACAGTGTGTGCCAACCTTGTGAAGACTTACAGAAAATGTTTGACCTCTGTCATTGCCAASAAAGGATATACAACAAAGTATTGAGATGAACTTTTGTTATTGACCAAATACTTATTTTCCACCATTATTTGCAAAAAAATTGTTTAAAAGTCAGACAAAATGATTTTCTCAAATTTTTTTTCACATTTTGTCTCTCATAGTTGAGGTCTACCTATGATGTCAATTACAGGCCTCTCTCATCTTTTTAAGTGGGAGAACTTGCACAATTGGTGACTGACTAAATACTTATTTTCCCCACTGTATTTGTCAGGCACATGGTCTGTAACCTCTGTACCAAAAGAGCCTGTGAACAGGCATTTAGCCACAGGAGAGCCTTCAGTTTTCTTACACAGCTGGTGACGCCTCAGGACACCCTCAAGGGAAACCTTGGGATTGCCAACAGTTGTTGTTTTTTTACATTATGTAAATTTTAATGTAAACTTCTGTAAACAGTGGGGTTATATCGTTATATTAGTTTAATCTGGTCTCCAACAGTATTATCGTTTATCGTAATAATTTCTGAGAAAATTCATCGTCCAGTAAAATTTGTCACCGTGACAGGCCTGTTCATAATCCCTCTCAAATTTAAAGGGGCAATATCATGTAAAATCAACTTTTTTGAGTTTTATATCAGGTTATAATGTTATACTCTAATAAAAAACATGCCCAAAGCCTTGCTCTGACTCATTCATGCATGTTTGAGAAATCCTGCAGTGTTTTTATGAAGCCATGCTGAGGAGCAAAACGACAGGTGGGGACCAGAAACGCCCCTGGGACGTGTCTTTAAGCTGAACTTCCTCATGGCAGAGCACCCCACCACACACACACACAGACACATACACACACCCCACCTATGACTTCTGCAGGTTCTCAAGTCAAAGTGAAAATGAAACCTAACTGTCTGCTGAGCTCTCAACATTAGTTCTCACTCAGTGAAGCATTTTTCAGATTAAAAATACCTTTGAGGAAATGTATTTTTAAACTGCATCATGGCAGCCCCCCTCCCCCCTGCGAGTGCGACCCCCCCACACCGAAATGTGCAAAACAGAAGCAGAAGGTGGTTCTTAAAGAGACAGAGGCCAATTTCAAGGCGTTTAGAAGAGGAAGTGATGAGAAGATCAATTTATTTTCCATTTAAACATAAAAACAGCATTTTAATAACAGCTAAAGGTTACATAGATACTTTATTATGGTATAGTATTTAAATGTATGCCTGAGAAACACATAACATTGCCCCTTAAACAAAATGCATAAATAGCAAAAGCATCTTGAGACTTTCCATTTGTATTTCTCATCCAATCTAACAGACTGTTTTTGTGTTTACAGATCAATGGCGTGGTGCTGTCGTCGCTGGCGTAGAGTGCTGATTTGCCTTTGCATGCCATGCTGCTGCCTGGTCTTCATGTATATCTTCTTGGCTGTTTTGATAACTATGAGCATGACTTCTGTGACGATAACACAGTCCTTCAATGAGCCAACCACAAGCCATTTTGCGGCTCCAGGAGCTTCAGGTAATGACAGCGTTGCTCCTGTCCCTAAAACTTTCTGGGAACAACACCTTCCTGATGATGCCGTTTGGAACAAACTCCAGAGATCCACTGACAACCACTTTAACTCCATCCTCTACCCCAGCAAGGCCAAGAAGGTATCAGAAAGAATCAGCTTTAATGATACCCTCCTGAAACAAACGTTCTCTAATATTATGAGCTTGGAAAGAGTGAAGAAGAATTTGGAAAAGCTGCCAAGAGAGATAAAACGTTTTATCACCAACATGCAAAAGAGGGACTACCCTGTCCTCATCCGACCACGTCGAGTATGTGGGGCTCAGGCAAAGCATGAGACGCAGCCCCCTCTGATTCTATTGGCCATCAAGTCAAGAGAATTAAATTTTAAGAACCGAAAAGCCATTCGAGAGACTTGGGGCCAGGAGGGATGGGTGCAGGGACAGAAAATCAACAGCAGTGACAAACAACTGGTTGGAGGATATGTCCGGAGGGTGTTCTTGCTTGGCAAAGAAAGCTCAGCAGATCTGGGCGTGGATATAACCGATGTCTTGAGAAAAGAGAATCTACGTTTTGGAGATATTCTGCAGTGGGACTTTAAGGACACGTTTTTCAACCTCACTTTAAAGGACGTGCTCTTCTGGAACTGGTTCTCCAGTCACTGTGGTCAAACTCACTTCATCCTGAAGGGAGACGACGACGTCTTTGTCAACACCCCAAAGCTGATCACCTACCTCCACAATCAGTTAAATAAACCACAAGTCAGCGGCACCTTGGAAAATTTCATGATAGGAGATGTCATTTTGGCTGCCCAACCTAATCGAGACAAAAGGTCCAAGTACTTTATTCCACCAAGCTTCTACAAGGGGGTTTATCCTGTGTATGCCGGCGGAGGAGGGGTGGTGTACTCTGGCCTGTTGGCAAGACGCTTACTCAACATATCTCAAACAGTCCACCTGTTCCCCATCGATGACGTCTATGTAGGAATGTGCATGGTTTTGCTCAATTCCCACCCCCTCCACCATCCCGCCTTCCTCACATTTGACATATCTGAAAAGGAAGAAGACGAGCCGTGTTCATACCACTCCATCCTGTTGGTCCACAAACGAACCCCCGAGCAGTTAGTCGCACTGTGGACTGACATGGAAAAGACACGGGAACAATGCAAGGACGCACCACTGAGGGATACTTGAAAACCTCTTAAAAAATGAACTGTGAAGGAAGTTTTAGGGCAGAATATGAACTCATCAAAGTTATGATGGTGACACTGCAAATGTTAAAGCGTAAACTCACCTCACATTGAACAATGTGAACAAAACAGAACTATCAGCACACATAAACAAAAAAAAAAAGGTATTGCATAAACACAATATGTGAAACCCAAATGGTAAATGTTCTCTATGCAACTTCGTGCATGATTTTTACTTTTTCTGTACAAAAGTGTTTCTTGTTTTCTTGTTGGATTTACTGCAGCTTTAAAGTTGTATTTTGCAGCTGCAGGTGTTTAAGGTTTATGCTTATTTTTATTTTTTATTTTTCTGTTGATGATTTTTCCATTAACTGTAAAAATAATGATCAGTTTGGTGTCAACACGTTTCCTAGATAATCCAGGTGAATTTTAAGAAGGATAATGTTAAACCTTTAGGATTCACTACTAGAAGCATCAATGACACAGGTGACATGTTATAAATGTGTTCTGGTTTTGGTTACATTAATGTTTCTTAAATTTGTTCACTGTGGGGTCAGGGATTTTATTTTATGTTTTTATTAGTTTGTTCAAAAGATAAAACTACAAAAAATGGATATTGTATAATATTTGTTGCTGCTGTTTGTACTGTCAAACATAGAACAACTTTTGTAGTTTTATTTTTTTATTATTATTTTTTACTATTTATTCATTTAATATTCCAACTCTGGCCACATGACACTTCAAGTCTATAATGGTTGAATTTTTTAAATCTTTATTTATACAGACTGCTAGCATGAAAGACATGAGGTCATGTAGCTCCCTGTGTGTGTGTCTGTGTGTGTGTGTGTGTGTGTGTGTGTGTGTGTGTGTGTGTGTGTGT